CCCCCCCGCGCCCCAAGTTTTAAACAAAGTAGAGAGTGAGAGAGTGAGTGAGAGAGAGGAGAGAATGGGGGACAAGCCACTAGGTCCTACAGAATATGGGGAGCAGACAACCACCCAAAGTTTCCATTCTTATGGTCTACCAAACTAGATACCTATGCTTTTGCTAACATCCTTGCACAGAAGCTTACCTTTCCTTATGCGAAGTACCAAAACTTGGTAAACAATAGATAGTTCAGTCATTGGAGGAGTATATCAGTATCCAAAATAACTCAATGAATTAGCCTTGACTCTGGAAGAAGAATCCATAGATCTCGCTTTCTTCAAGGGAAAATGTAAGAAAATGAGAAAAGTTTCACTACAACTTCAAGACATAATGCACCAGTGAAGAAAAAATTAGCTCAGGCATCTGCATCTATAAAAATGTTTTTTATATCAAAGCTTTAGTAGACCGTGCCAGAATGTATACATAGATTCAGATGGAATCCTGTCCTTCTCAATCAAGGGGAAAGAAAATATAGTGAAGCTTGTGAGCGGAGGAGATGAGAAAAGAAAGGATTTCATCGCCTTGAGCTTTCCCGATTCTAAAGGTCTACAATTTAAATGAAAACTGTAGGCAGGGCGAAGAGAAAACTTCATCAATTTCTAGGCAACCAATAGCCAGGAAAAAAAATATAAGTATTAAATGAGGACATCTCCGAAACCCTATGGGGTAGAAAGATACATTTGGAAAATCGTGAAGCAAGTCACGTAACATATGAGGACAAGATGTCTTGCATCAGGTATATTTAAGCAAGAAGTTGGAAGAACAAGCCATCAAATTTATTTTGTATCTTGAAGTGCCAAATGACTAAAAACCTTAGATTTATGTGAAGGAAGCCAAGGAAACAACAAATGTCTTTCTTAAAGATTTGATACCATTACATAATAATGGAAAACTTAACAGTCTTCGAAGACTCCTGAGCATTTCTGCGGCCCTCAAGTTTGCCATGTTAATCAACAGTGATAAGTATGACACAACATTCTTCAAAGACCATAAACGATTAACACTACATTCTTATGAGCACAGTGCAACCATATGAGAATAAGTTTGAGCGTGACTCCTAGATGTTTAATTTAACCTATCATAAACGGACAATTCAAATCTTCATTGCAGGGGCTACTAACTGAAAGATGGAAAAGGACTGGGCTTAAATAAAATAGTTGAAGAAAGAAGCAATGAAGAAACCATCGAAGCCTTCTAAATCCAAAGTTTTACAACTGAAGAGGTTAAAATTAATATTTGACTCGGCATGGAGTTACAAAATATGAAGACTTTTGAAGTTTGTGGTCTTAAACATCCCATAATATTTGTGTGGCTATAAGCCATTTGAAACTTGTGGTCTTAGACATTCCATAACTTTTGTGTGGCTATAAAAGCTTCTCGTTAAGGGTAAAATGTGTAAAATGTAAAGTTTAAAATCAAATTGTTTCCAAATATAGACATGTGCCATACTTTTTGGAACAGATTAATAAGGAAAATGTGTCACATAAGCTGAAACGGCGAAATATATTTACCTTACCAGGTATCTCAATGCTGAAACAGTGCTGTATTACCAAATATAAGGTACAGTAAAGATATTAAGGTAATACTTGCTTTGCAAGATTACATATGATTTTAAGAATCCACATCAAAAATCATTCTCCACTCAAGACAGGTAAGAGACGCATTAGTTAGTGCAAAGCAAAAGTGACCCAAAAGCAGCATCACACAGAGTTGTCAAAGGAAAACCATAATTAGCAGTGTTCTAGATGTAAAGGAAAGAGAGCTCAACCTCAATGAGCTTGACATCCAGGTGGTCTCCTACTTTGAAAGCCTGTAATTAGGAAACAGGATAAACTATTTTTATTATGACCATTCGAATTGTTAAATGCAATAACATATAAGTGACTTGTGAGCTTACATCTTCAGCCTTGGCTAGCCAATTTGCACTCAGCTCACTGATATGGCATAATCCCTGAATTAAACATAATTGCATTAATTAGAAGAGCACCCTGATGCTGAAATTTTTGGACAGGAGAAACAATCATCTTTACAAAAAAGCATGATAAATAACAGTGTCAAACAAATGAATCAGCATGACAATTACTTCTAGTAGATGAAACATAAGAAAGAATAGCATCTTATTGTTTACATGTTTCAGTAGACAAAATATTATACCTCTCGTCCAGGCACAATCTCCACAAAAACTCCATAAGGTGCAATAGATTTAATCTCACAATTCCTGATTAGGCAAAAACAGGAAATACAAAAGCGCAATTAATCAAAACCAGAAACAATTCAACAGTTTTAAAGATTTGACAAATTAGAAAATTAGGCATCAATGGCACAAGAAATATGCGAAGTACGAGAATGATGCCCAGGAGTTGCACATGTTGAGCAACTGTAATGCAAATCTCAAAGCTACAAAAAAGATCTCTGGATAGTATAATAAAAAAGTTCTCTTTAATAAGTAGGATTGAGAGGAGACCTATATATGTCACCAACAACCGGAACCATCGTTAGACTACTTATGATGGCTTTTGACTTTTCCAGGCTTGACAAGTCCTTTGCAGTTATTTTTACCTGTAATAACCTCATTAAGATTTTGAAAGTCATAGTATTCAAATTGACATGCTAATCAAAAACTAGAAACTTAGGTTTTCTCCCTAACTGACCACGCCATCATCTTGTGTTTCAATAGCTTCAACACCAGTTTCTTCAATAATGCTCTTCACCTTCTTCCCCCCAGAGCCAATGATGAGGTTTATTTTTTCTGGTTTAACCTATGAAATCATTGACAAACATGATTGAAATCTGTTCATTTAATCACCACTACAGATGAAGTGAGCATCAGATAGACAACAGACCTTCATAACATGGATTAGCGGAGCATGCTTTGAGAGCTTTCTTGAAGGGGGTGGCGAGCATTTTGACATCTCAGCTGAAGAGCACAAATTGAAAGTGCCAAAACAAGTTCATCAGGAGAAGAATGCAATTCGAGAAGTTGTAAAGAAAGTTATCAACAGAAGAAAATTCTGAAAGAAAAAACTTTGAGATTCATTATTCTGATAAGGTCAAATGCACAACATGCTAATACAACAGACATCAATATGCATGCTAAATGTTATACTTCCTCTGCCACAGTTCATAAAATCCACATTTGAGGCATCTCTTGAAATTTACAGTGTAACAGCTTTCAGACTTCCTAACAATTCAAATTTTTATACCAAGATTTTCCAGATGAAGCAACTATTCAACTACTCCAATATTTTCTGTGCTATTACCATTACTATATATTATATACGTAGAATGTCGTTAACAAATGTACTGAACTAAAGCGCCCACATAGAAGGGGATGAAGGAGTAATGCAGAATATGTAGAAACTTCAAGAGGGAAAGAAACGAAAGGAGAAACTATATATTGAAAAGAATTTTAGCTGTTGCAATTCCCTTTCATGGGGAGAATGTTGTTGCATACCGGAAGTGTTATCTACAAGCACTATCCAAACACGTCAGGAAAAGCCAAGAAGCTGAAATAAGTATCTACTGAGACTAGGATTTTTCAAAACGAAAAGCTCAAGCGACAAGGTTCTTGGAGCTTGAAGCGAAAAGCGAGAAGTGAAGCCCATGCTTCTTTGAAGTGAAACGCATAATTACAGAAAATTAAAAATACAAAATATATATAAAAGTTAGTACTAATAATCAAATTAAAATGCAAAACATATACAAAACGCTAGGCTCTGGAAACCAAACTTGGAGTCTAATGGTTTCAGGTTGAGTAGGACTAAGACAGAATACCAGGAGTGTAAGTTCAGTGGACGTAACTCATGAAGCGGATGTGGAAGTAAGCTTGGGACACAAGTCACCCCAAGAAAGGAAGTTTCAAGGTAATGGAGAGATTGACGATGATGCCATCCATCGTATTGGGGCGGGGTGGATGAAATGGAGGCTCGCTCCGGTATCTTGTGTGATAAGAATGTGCCACCACGACTTAAAGGTAAGTTCTATAGAGTGGTTGTTAGGCCGATTATGCTGTATGGGACGGAGTATTGGCCAGTCAAGAGCTCACATGTTCAGAAGTTGAAGGTAGCAGACATGAGGATGCTGAGATGGATGTGCGGGCCTACTAGAAGAGACAAGATTAGGAATGAAGACATTCAGGACAAGGTAGGAGTAGCCTCCGTGGTGGACAATATGCGCGAACCGAGGCTCAGATAGTTCGGGCATGTTAAGAGGAGAGGCTCAGCTATCCAGTGAGATGGTGTGAAAGGTTGGCCATGGTGAGTCTGACGAGAGGTAGAGGAAGACCAAAAAGGTATTGGAGTGAGATGATAAGGCAAGACATGGCACATCTGCGCTTACTGAGGACATGGCCCTTGATAGGAATGTGTGGAGGTTGAGAACTAGGGTAAAACACTAGTAGGTAGTCAGGCTTTTATCCTTATCCTACCTGTAGCATCAATAGTATTCTCCTACTTTCTTATACTTAGATCCTTATTATTACCGGTTGTTTCTTTTGCTTTAGTGTTCTTAGGATCTTGCTGCTTTTTGTAGTGCTTCGTGTTACTGCTTCCTTTTCATGGTTTCTCCACTTCTGTATTTCTTTTTGAAGCCATGCGCTTCAGTGTAGCAATGCGAAGCGAGGGGTTACTGCATCACAGTTGAAGCTATGCGCTTCGGTGAAGTGTGCACTTCAAATAATGACTCGCATAAGTGATCCAAACAAAAAGCGGCTGGTTCTTTGATCTCAACTTTGGGGTTGGATTAATATCGACATTATAGTAAAAAGATGTTGAAATTATTAATTTTGTTACAATTTGATTATTAATACAACAACAACAAAAAAAAAAAACAACAATAAACCCAATGTGATCCCACAAGTGGGGTTTGGGGAGGGTAGTCTGTTTGCAGTCTTATCCCTACCTTGTGAAGGTAGAAAGATTGTTTCCGATAGACACTCCGCTCAGAAAAAGCATAGTCACAACATTATTGACTGTGAAGCGATAATGCCGGCTTCGCATTGCTTCATCCTTTGGCTTTTAATAACAGTGATTTAAACTAATCAGATTGCTAGTGTCAAACAACGGAGAGTTGCCTGATTCTGCTGCACAACGTCATGTTTCAGATTAGGGATAGAAGTAGCCTGAACAGGGGTACAGTAGCTAGAGGAAGCTTAGGACTTTGTATATGTAATATTTCACTAATATGTGAAGGGGGCTGATTATGGTGTTCTAGGGGACTGGTTAAAGTGGAAATGCGGGTGCCCCTACTGCAATGTAATGAAGTCTTTTCTCTTCAATAGAATGTAAAAGACAACATGTATATTCTTTTTAAATAAGTTACTATTTTTTTTGGAGTAATTAAAAGGTAACAAACATATAAATCTTAAAAAAGAGCAAAGTTGCCTTTGAAGGATATTTTTCATTTTTTAGTTCATTGAGTTTAAACTGTATTTTACATCCAAGAATTTCAACAGCATAAGGGTTTTATTATTTATGAAAAATAGGAAGTTATAGGGACCTTGATTATTGCCTTAGCTACTTAGTGAACACATTAAGGAGCAGTATTGGGAGACTTCAGTGTTTCGAAGGAATTTAAGGAATGTAGCCATACTTTTACATCCAAAAATTTCAACAGCACAAGGATCTTATTATTTATGATAAATAGGCAGTTTTAGGGTGACCTTGATTATTACCTTAGCTTCTTAACAAGCCCATCAGGAGCAGTATTAGGGGACTCCAGCGCTTCTGAGAAGGAATTTTGGGAACGTAGCCATAACTTACTTAATGGCACTAGACCTGACAAATTTAGGATATTTTTTAAGATTTTCCTTGGTGGGTTCAATAATAGCTAGCTATGAGCTATCTGTAGCAGAGTAGACTGAGCTTATTCCTAACAATTCATGCTTGATGATTTGGCTAACACACTGACTTCATTTCCCCGTTTAGTAGCTCTTCATATGTACCTCAAATAGTGTGCTGCACCACAATCACATGACGTGAAACAAACTGATTGCTTGTCGAAACTATTTTTTAAGAGAGTGAAACTACATGCAGTTTATCATTACCAAGAATGTGCTTTCGTCCATCTTTTGCTTGTAAGAGAGCTTGTTTCATGATTGGCAACGTAATTCCTCCTACCTGGCACGAAATAAGCAAAAAGAGTCAAGTAAGTTCGAACAAACAAAAGAAACCAAAACCATTTCTGCCGTTTGAACTAGTTTAACTACTTGCTGCTGATAAACATCCAATGTGTTGTGTATACCTTTATGTCCATCTGAAACGCGGTAATACCAACATCACTTCCAGCAACCTGTGCAATCAAAATCACACTTTTAAGAGGCTTGCCTTCCAAATATCCATCAAAAGCCACCATACACTACATATTGAATAATGAACTAGAAATCTTTGTATGTACATACACTCTTTATAAGCAAAGTAGCATTGGAATACAGAGTGGTTACAAAGGATTCATATAAGATCACAACTTTGTTTGGTATCAAACTACAAACATCTTAAATGTTTTGCATTTTTCATTGGCGTGTTTTTCTGGTAACTCGATCATCCATAGTGTCTAAATTACAATCAGTACTAGCCCCTAGCACTCACTATCTGCGCAGATAGTATTTGAGATATTGAATTTCACCAGTATTCAACAGGGCATGAGGAAAATATAATTTTAGAGATACTCCTGTCGATACATAAGATCTCCCTACGCAGCTCCTTCATCAGGCAAAGGAACGTTCAGTTCTTACCAGCAACTGAGCTTTGGACTATCTTAAGAGATGGGAAACCAAATGATGCAACCAATAAACAACTCAAGGAAATGCAGGTTAAAGAAAGAAATAACTCCTTGCTCAATTTAAGTGTAGGACCATATGGAAAGGTTATCTTAGAGATTCCCTTAATTTTTTATTTATCTTTAGCTAACACTTACCTAATTGCAGCCAAATTGATGCAAGATCAAGAATGCTAAAAATCTAAGAAATTCAAGAAGCGAAGAATCCATTCAAGATTAGGATTTCTTTTCCTTAAAGATTATGATTTGTTATTTCTTATTTCCTAGTAATTTAATTCTTGTTTTAGTAGGATTATATTTGTAGTTCTAGCTAGGATTGTTAGTTGGTATCCTATTCTTACTAGAATTCTTTTTCCAATTTTAGTTAGGATAAGGTTTTCTTAGCCTTATTCTTGTTCTCGTTTAATTAGGATTAGTTTTCCTAAACCTTATCAATTTTACTCAATGTAAGGCCTATTTAAAGGGCTCAATATGCTGAAAATAAAGAGGGGTGATTAGTTTTTCTAAGCTTTTGCTTCAAAAACGTGATTGATCTTTTATTTTATTCTTCTTCCTTTATTCAACGCTTCTTGCAATCTTGCGGGATTGGGGAACGTGTGGGTGAGGTTTCTTTCTCATCTTACATTCTTCTAACGTGAGTTTGAAGAACGCTTTCGCTAGTTTTGTGAAAAACTTTAGCGGGGTGCTTTGTTTTTCTCTCTTCTTTGTACTTGAGAGGTGCAAAACCTTGAAAGTACATCAATTTGGTATCAGAGCACAAATTCCAGGTCCGAATTCTTGATTTGCTACATTGTTCATCATGTCACCAAACAAGAAAATACCAAGTTCGGGATCCTCTTCAATAGATCTTCAATTAAAAGTTCATAAATTAAGAACTAGAATCCTTGAACGAGACAACAAAGAAATTAAAGTGCAGCTAGATGACTTGAAGGAATCAATGGAGAATCTGACTAAATTAGTTGAAAGTTCGGTATTTCAATATCAACTACCAAATTCGCCACAACGCCTACAACCGCCACATCTACCACTTCTATATCCACCAATTCATTCACAAAGAGCTGAAGAGGTTGAAGCTGACCAAGGCACAAGGGTACCAAGGCACCATGCCCAATATGATAATTATTCAGATAATCAAGGGATTGAAGATGACGAAGCCGATGAAGACCAATATCAAAGAGACGAGGAACATGCATTGAATCCAAAACTTAAGGAATTACCACCAAAGCTTTATGACGATCCATTGGATTATCTACCCATGTGTGTTGTTGACTTTTCGTCTTTCAGAGATGCTCAACACAATATTAATTTGATTGTTGACGCAATCATCCCAAACAAGTCAGCATATTGCGTTAATCCTAAAGTCCATAAAAACATGCATGAACAAGAGGAAGGATTACCTAAGAAGGAGTGGATAATGGAGAGTTTGAGGTATATTGGAGAAATAAGATGTGTTCACCTCATAAATATATATCAGCATCATCAAAGTGACTGTTGGTGTACACGCATAGCAATTGATGCAGCCTCTAGAAGAACGTTGATCCCTATGCTTAATTCAAAGTTAGACATGGAGTTGGCTAAGTTTCATGAAGTTCCAACACCAATAACTTCATATCATAAGTTGAAGTTTGAGAGTCAACGTAGAAAGATTACATGGAAAAGACTTGGTAGAAAGTTGAAACTTAGAAAGTGGGATTTGGTTCGACCACATGCTAAGTTTGCTTATAACGTGAAGAAGCTCTATGATAAACTAGCAAAATGTAACTTAAAAGCTAGTGAGCATTGGGTCCCCCTTTTTTTTTCCCTTGGGTCCTCATTCTTATTATAGCAAATCTTGCGCCATCTATGGAAGCTGTTAGACTCGAGGACGAGTCTTTTTCAACCAGGGGAGAATGATGCAAGATCAAGAATGCTAAAAATCCAAGAAATTCAAGAAGCGAAGAATCCATTCAAGATTAGGATTTCTTTTCCTTAAAGATTATGATTTGTTATTTCTTATTTCCTAGTAATTTAATTCTTGTTTTAGTAGGATTATATTTGTAGTTCTAGTCAAACTAGGATTTTTAGTTGGTATCCCATTCTTACTAGAATTCTTTTTCCAATTTTAGTTAGGATAGGTTTTCTTAGCCTTATTCTTGTTCTCGTTTAATTAGGATTAGTTTTCCTTAACCTTATCAATTTTACTCAATGTAAGGCCTATTTAAAGGGCTCAATAAGCTGAAAATAAAGAGGGGTGATTAGTTTTTCTAAGCTTTTGCTTCAAAAACGTGATTGATCTTTTACTTTATTCTTCTTCCTTTATTCAACGCTTCTTGCAATCTTGCGGGATTGGGGAACGTGTGGGTGAGGTTTCTTTCCCATCTTACATTCTTCTAACGTGAGTTTGAAGAACGCTTTCGCTAGTTTTGTGAAAAACTTTAGCGGGGTGCTTTTGTTTTTCTCTCTTCTTTGTACTTGAGAGGTGCAAAACCTTGAAAGTACATCACAAATAAACTTCATTCTTACCGGAAGAAGTATAGGACCATATGGAAAGACCAGCCGGTTATGCTAGGAGAAGCTCTGATCACGCAACATGGATGTGTGAAACTGAATGTGAAACGAAAGAGTGGAACAAGAAAGGAGAACAGTTGCATGCAACCAAGAATTTGGTGGTAAGCACCAGACAACGCAAACCAAATAGCATTTAAGGACAAGCTTTTGAAGAAGGACTACTGTGACTTGGAAGCAGATGTAGTGCAATGAAATGGCAACTTGCATTACGAAAGCAGGAATTTTTAGGTGTGACCAAAGACCTAGGACCTCAACCACGAGACTTAGGTGGTGGAATGAGAAGGTGCAAATAGCTACAAAAGCAAAAAGGAGTGTTTTATGAAGTTAACAAAAGTCGAAAACTAAGATGTCTTTGAAGAACATAAAAGAGTTAACAGGGGCGCTGCCAAGACTATTAGTAAAGCCCCGGTTTCTAGAGTGTTCCTAGATTGGTTGAAGCAATAGTTGTAGTCACTTTATACGGTCTCCGACAATCCTTACCTCATTAGTTAGGTTTGGGGTTGAGTTAAGTCCAAGATATTTTTATAACATGAGCCAAACACATGTTTGGCACCCATGCTATACTATTGATGCTCCATATGTACAGCCCTAGGCGTGCAGAGAGGTGTTAGAATCCCGCATTAGTCAAGTCTATTGACTGCACAAGATAAAAAGTTTTCCTCAGTTTGCTTTACGTGGTTACTTTTTCAATGTTTATCTTTTCCCAGATTTCAAAACATCCTCTAACTAACCAAACAGCCTTTACAGTAAAGGCAGCGTTGCAGGCACATGAAACCCGCTCCAATACTTCATCTGATTTGCTCACTGCACTAGTTTAGCTATCACTGCACTAGTTTAGCTATAGTCATTGAACTGCAAAAATTCTAAAATCATTTTATTCAATCACACTATCATAAATTACAAGGACCTTCAAACACAGATGAATTGGCATAAATATGTAAGATACCTTTTTTCCAAGAAACACGTGATAGGAAGATGATAGAAACAATTTAAAAAGTAGTACCTTGAAATCCATATCTCCTGATGCATCTTCAGAACCCAATATGTCAGAAAGGATGAGTGGAGTTCCATCTCCACCAAATTCCTTTGTGTCCAGAACCATACCCATTGCAATACCAGCGATAGCACACTTAACAGGAACACCAGCATCTTGCAATGCTAAGCACCCACCACATACAGATGCCATACTGCCACATAGAGAAGATAGATGTCACAGAAAGAAAAATGGCGACGAACTCTGGAAGACTAGAAAGGGACTATCCCCTACTTTTTTCAGGTTACTGAAATAAAACCCTTTGAACATAGTTAAGGTGTAAAAAAATAGCAGCTATGGATACATACATGACACATTCTAAACATGTTTTAAGCGCTCTACCTCGATGAGCCATTGCTTTCAGTGATGGTACTCTCAACACGAACAGTGTAAGGGAAGTCATCTTCAGGAGGCAGTATTGGTCCAAGAGCTCTCTCTGCAAGCATTCCATGACCAATTTCTCTTCTTGATGGTGCCCCTACACGCCCAGCTTCACCAACGCATGAGGGTGGAAACGAATACTGCATAAGCAAGCCAGCAGGTAAAGAAAATATCAAGTATTTCCTTGAGATACCAAGTGGAAAACCATACATTCACAATAAATCTGTGAAGTAACACAAAGCCAACAGAGGTTTGGATATAAACATTACCACTTCATTCATGGAATCAGAAAACAAACAAACATTATCAGCTTAATGACCTCTACCGATTTCTAGAAATTAGAAGAAACCAAAAGAAGGAAAAGAAAAAAAGAGACATCTAGAATAAACACATCAATGGTTACTCAGGCCTCATTTGTTTGCACTTAATGGAGGTCTGAATCTTAATTATTCAGATCTCAGACATTAAGTGTGTTTGTTTTTAAAGTCTGTATCTTGATCTATAACAAAGACTTAATTTCTTTAAGATGCTATCATCCACATTCACTACTAACTGCCGCCGCCGCCTACCATTATATCAACTACTACCACTGCCACCATACTCAACCACCACCAACACCACCACCCTCAACCATAACCGCCACCATTACCACCACCCCACCACCATCATCCTAAACCACAACCACACAGTCACCCACCTCAACTACCACAACCCCATTACATCAACAACCATAGCCGGCACCGCCCACCATGGTTGGGTGTAGGCAACATTTTTCATAAAGCAGGAGAAAACAAAAAAAAAATGACAAAATATGACGATTGATTCTCTATATGATGCATGTTTGACCCAGGATAATCTCAGAAAAAAGGAGCATTCAATTGGCTAATAGATGCTACATGTGCAAGTCCAATGCAGAAAGTGTCAGCCACCAACTCTTACATTGTATAGCTTCAGAGTTATGGAATATGTTCCTAACTATTTTTGGTGTAAGTTGGGCCATGCCACACAATATCAAGGAAGCATATATGAGCTGGAGCTCATACAACATAATAAAGCCATCAAGAATATCTGGCTAATGGTGCCTGGAAGTATCTTTTGGTGCATCTGGATAAAAAAAATTCAGAGATGTTTTGATGGAATCTCTACTTCGAGTCATTCCCGGCAGGAAAGATGTTCTTTTTTTTTCCTGGCTCAAGCCAACCACTGTATCTAGCATTGACCATTTTTTGGATTTTGTCAGTTCCTTTGTAATAGCCTAGTTTTTTGTCTCTACAACCGACACAATCAGTTTTCTATAATCTTAACTCTGTATTCATATCCTTGTAACTTTTGCTACTTGATGCCAGTAATGGAACTACTACTACATAAAACTAAAATAAAGCATTTTGTTGAAAAAGCTTGTCTAAAAGAATCTGAGCATTGATTCAAAAACTTTAAGGTAATGGGTGGAGTTGTTATGGTCCATGACAAGTTTCTAAGGGAACCCTCATAGATTTGACACAGGACATATATATTTTCTACACCTTTCGACATGCATAACCCAATTTTAGGGGTATATCTGGATGAAGAATCTTTTTTTCTTCTTTGCTTGTTTTCGGGCCCTTTTTTTTACTGCTTAAGTTTTTGTTATATAAATTGTAGTGCCATAACATGCTAAAGAGTTGACATACTGAGAAAGCAGGCTCAACAGGCTAAAGAGTGGGCATGGAGTAGAGAGAAGTTGGTCCAACAGGCTAAAGAGCTAGTTTGGAGCAGAATCAGTAGCTCAATGGCTTGAAATAATAGAGAGAGGCCCAAATCAGCTCGATGGACCAATTGAGAGAGACAAACCTATATCTATAAGATAGGCAGAGAAAAAACTGTTCTGAGAACCAGTTACCAAAGTTTTGCTCTGAAAATTTGAGCATCTAAACCCAAAAAACTTAAGTAGTCTAGCTCCACTATAAACTCCTTTGAACGCCCTTGCAGAATGGATGTGGGAAAGGTGTATTCTCTAACCATGGGAAATTCTCTTGTGATAGAATCCGTAGAAAATGAGGTTTTCAAAGTGGGTAAGTTATGGCAGCATAGGAAACTGTCTAATGACTTGGACATACTTATCACAGGTACTCATACCTGAAGATAAAATCTCTTGTATTCATCATCATCCACAAGGTTGTCTATCTTCTGTGCCATTTGCTTATCACCAAGTGTTACCACCGCCAATGACTGCAAAACCAAAAAATCAAGAAGCAATCAAGTACACAACAGAACTGCTATTGAATAGAATATATTTCTATCAAGTGTAAGCTATAATTAACAAATCAGAATTCAAACCAGCTTGATACTACATCTTCACACTTCCAGAAACAAGATCCACAAGGGAAAGGAAAAAATGGTTCCCCCTCTGCAAAATCTGGGATCTCAACTCTTTATATTTCTGATTTTAGTTTGATTTCCTCAACCATAGTATTTAGCTTAAATTAAGTAGAAAAAGTAGAGGAAAAAGTAAATACGACAAAAAACAAATTACAAACTTTAAAGCTTAAAAGCACATCACTCATAAAAAAAATCAGGTCAATGAACTTTCTTTCATCATATGAGCAAATTCTGAAGAAACTTTCAGAGGAAAGACAAACCTGATGCTTGCAAATAGGCTAATTCAGTTGTGCATTTTACAGAATATAGAGGGAACAAACCTGTGTTTCACCTCGAGTGAAGAGAGCACTCCCATGTGCCCTGGGAAGCAGTCCACAGCGTGCGTCAATCACCCGTATCTCCTGAGGGGTCCTGCCATCACTTCTCTTACCTCTCTGAATACAGGAGAAAATGAAAAGCATAACTGTAAACTAACTCAACACCAAGTTGAAATTCAGATGGAAAAGACTAATACTCAGGTGCAAAGACCAGGTCCTATAAATCCTAGGCACATTCCTAACTCCTGAAATTTTTTTTCACAGCTTTGCTCCGTCCCTCTGGTTAGAAGCAATGACAAAGCATAACATCAACTAATTCAAAGGAATATGCAAAATGCGTTTGATGAAAAACACTCAACTCCGAACATGGTATCGGAGTTCATAGACAGGTGTTTGCTCCAGATTTTTCTTTCCTTTTTCACCCCGGGGGGGGGGGGTGGGGGG